CAACCTCCCGCCAGCTCCTTCCGCCGCCTTCCTCCAATCACCGCCCACCTCGCCGGGCTTCCGTCCAATCGTTGCGCTCGGCGCTCGGCCGGCGGCCAATCAGCAGCGAGAGGGGGCGGGGACGGCTGTCAGAAGTGCCGCTTCGCGCTGTCAGAATCGGGGAGCGTCGCTCATTTCCGCTCCCGGTGAGAGGCGCACGGCCGTGCTGGCAGCGCGATGCCCTCGCGTTTCTCCATAGGGAACGCACACGGCGGACGGTCCTTTCCCCGAGAGGTGGTGACGCGGCGTTGCAGGTGGACTCCACATCCCATCGTGCACCGCGGCAGGGCATGAGGATGAGGGCTTGGGTATGGGCGGAAACCGGAACCGGAAGCTGGTCGTCGTATCCAATGGGAAGCCCCGGGCGGAAGCAGGAAGCGGGAGAAGGGGCGGGGTTGGTGGGGATGCCTGGGGTTGGGCCGGAACCGGAAGTGAGTCGCGGGGTCAGGGGTTAAGGGTCAGGAGTCGTGAAGTTTAGGCGGGAGATTCAGGTGGGAGCGGTGCGGAGCGGCCTGGAGGGGTCTGGGGATGGGAAGGGGTTGGGAATGGGGCTGGGGGTGTGCAGGAAGTAGGGTGCACGGCTGTGGGGCGCTGGGGGCGGGATGGGGAAGATGTGGGGTGCGAATGGGGGACGGGGCTGAGGGCTGCGTGTGGAACTGGGGTGTGTGGGATAGGCCTTGAGGAGCTACGGGGTGCGAGTAGGGCTTGGGGTGGGAATGAGGGGTGCTTGGGGTGGAATGGGGCCGGGGGGGTGGGACTGAGGGGCTGTGGGGTGGAACTGGGGGCTGAGTGGGGATGTGGGAGGGGGCTAGGGGATGGAAATGGGGCACACTGAGTGTTGAACGGGGCTGGGAGGCAGCGGGAGGGCTGGGATCTCTGTAGTGCTGGGGGAGCACAGCTCCCACCCACCGCTGCTTTTCCCTTCCAGCCCCACGAACTGACCCCACATAACGGCCCCAGATGGCTCCAGTGAAGATCAGCCACATCGTTTCCTTCTCCTCCCAGGTCTGCGCCCGCAGGCTGTTGTGGGGGGCGTGGAGCAATCCATGTGTCACTCCATCCCTGGATGCAGCCGTGAGGGCGTGGAGCTGAGCTGCACTGTGCTGTTTTCCCTCCTGCAGGACCCCCGGTACCCCGTGGAGAACCTTCTGTGCCCCGATGGCCGCCGGCCCTGGCTCAGTTGCCCCCAGGAGCGCAGCCGGCAGCTGAGGGTGGAGCTGCAGCTAGAGAGAGCTGTCCCCATCGGCTACATCGACGTCGGTACGAGGATGGGGGGCTCAGGCTGTGGGGTGGGGATGAGCGTCCTCCTCTCGTGCCCTTTGCAGGGGCTGCAGTGAATGGTCAGTACTTGTGGTGGGTAGGGATTGCACAGCGGACGTGCTCCGAGCCCTGGGAGGAGCAGTGGGTGCTCCTCAAGCCCTGAATTTCATTCCCTGGGCTTTTATTCAGGGAACTGGGGCTGCGCCTTCCTGCAGATCGAGGTGGGTCGCTCTTCGTGGCCTCTTGACCGCCCCTACCTCACCCTGGTGCCCAGCGTCACGCTGATGACACCGGCCGACTCCAAGCTGGACGTCAACCGCTGCAGCGTCCGCATGTTTAAAGAAGGTAAAGTTGAATCCATCCTCTCCGAGAGGTCGAGCGGAAAGGTTGCGTGGGGCTGCCCTTGTAGCCCTGTGCCCCCCAACGATCCCACAGCAGATTTCCTGGTGCTGGCAGCGGGACAGAAGTGGGATCGCCTGCGGCTCACCTGCAGCCAACCCTTCCGTCACCGCGGGCAGTTTGGGCTCTGCTTCATCCGCGTGCGCGCGCCGCTGGACCCCGAGCTGTGCCACCCTGCAGTGGTAGGTTGACATGGGGATGGGGCTCCTTTTCCAGCCCCACAACAGTAGGGAGCACGGAGCAGACGTTGGGATGTTGCTTCATCTTGCAGGAGGATGCTGAGCTCATGGGCAGCCCCCAGCTCTCCAGCCCTGCTTCCTTGTGCCGGATTCCCTCTGCAGAAGCACGCCTGTGAGTATCCCTGGGGCTGGGGTCGGTGTGTGGGGCTGAAGGGTGGATGTGGGGTAAGCCTGGGGGTCTGCTCTGCCTTGCTCTAAGTCAGCATTTGCAGGGATCTGGGCTCTGAGTTCTCCCATGCCCACATCGCTCCCTGCATGGGAGGTGTCCCCCAGCCCTTGGGGGGACACAGGGCAGTGGGGCCAAGGGCTCTCTGCCCCCAGGAGCTCACGGGAGGAGGAGCAGCTGAAGAGGAGCCTGCAGCAGCTGGAGCCCAGCGCTGCATCCCATGCCTGGAGCCCAGGACATCTCAGCCGCCCGGCACGCATGGTGCTGTCAGCAGCACAGAGCCGTGCTGTGAGACCTCCACCCCAAATCAGTGCCAGCGACCCGGGGAGCAGCACAGAGCAGGGACAGCCTGCAGCACGGGGTGAGTGAGGGCCTCAGCACTGTGCCTTACCCCAGGTGTCCTGCTGAGAGCTCAGGTGAGAGGATCTGGAGGGATCCTGGCTCTCCTGGCTGCCAGGGTTCAGCTGGGCAGGGTAGGATGTGTCCTGAGAAAACGGTGGCAGTGATGTATGAAGGAAGGATCTCTTCTTGTTCTCTGCAGGTGCAGCATTGGAAGTCCCAACAGCCCCCAAGCGTGTCCACAGGCAGTCAGGCAGCAGGCAGAGAGCTCGCAGAGCTGTGGGCAGGTAATGGATCTCTGTATCACTCTACTTCTCCCACCCTCACTCTGATTTTTGCTGCTCTTTCAGAGCTGCTCCCTTCCCTGCACCCGATGCGTTCGGGATCCAGCAGCTCCCTCTATTGCTTCCCTGCACATCCTCACCCCACAACCCCTCCACCCAGGTCCCATCAGCCTCTCGCCAGGAATCCTGGGCCAGGAAGGAGAGTGAGAACGCAGGGCCACAACACGAGCGGAGGGGAGAGCAGCGGTGTGGAGAAGGCTCTGTGCCCTATTTGCTCAGGTGGGTGCTCGGAGAGGTGGGCACAAGCATGGAGCAGCGATGGGGGCTCAGCCCCACGCTCTGGCACAACCCCCTCTCCCCCCCCATCTCCACAGGTTCCTTCAGCACAGCTCTGCTCCCCGCTCACGCCTCCCGCTGTGGTGAGGAAGAATCTGACCCCGAGGTGGAGCTGCTTTCCTCTGCCAGCAGCCCGGTGCTGTGCCCCATCTGTGGGCTCTGCTTCAGCTCAGCAGAGGTGGAGCAACACTGCAGCACCTGTGGGGAGTGATGGATCCCCCCCAAGCAATGAAATGCAGAGAGAGACTCAGCCCCACTGTGCTACGGGGCAGGGACTGGGCACACTGTGGTTTGTGGTGCTCATTCATTCTGCCCCACGTGGCACGAGCTCATTACAGGCACAGGAGAGGAGGCAGCAGGGCCCAGGGGACTGAAGGAAGAAGCCACGTTGCTGCTGCTTCCATATGCACCACTCAGCAGTGTGAACTGGACAAGTATGTGTGAGCATCTGACTACAGGTGGGGTGATCGCCTCCCTCCCAGAGACACAGCGTGGGGTGTAGGGAATGGGGGGCTGATGGCAGCCCTGTGTGCCAAGTTTTAGGGCAGGCAGCAGCTCCTGGAGGTGGGAGAGAAATAAAACAAAGGAGAGAAAAGAGAACTGCTGTGGTTGCAGCATTGTCTGGAGGGGATGGGGTGAGCACAAGGGGGAGGAGGAGGGAGAGGAGGAAGATGGGGCAAAGCATGGCGCAAAGCCCACCGTAATGATCAAGCTGCTGCTGGCCCTAGTGCTGGGGGCAATACAGAATCACAGAAACACCAAGATTGGATAAAACCTACAAGATCATCCAGTCCAATATCCAACTAGCACCACTAGTTCTCACTAAACCATGTCCCTCAACACAAAATCCAAACATTCCTTGAACATGCGGCGGTCCTCCTGCCCATAGAAACAAGACTCCGACAGCAGGAGAAAAATACAATTTATTTACAAGTAGAAACACTTTAAAAAGGTCTCCTCTCCCCTCCACGAGGGCAGCAGGGAGCCAGGGTCCCTCGGGGACTGATGTCACCATCCCATTCCCTCTGCCCCACATGCCCCACAGCGGTCCCGAGTGTCCCTTTGGTGTTGCTGAGCTGTGAGGCAGCGAGGAGGAGTGAGGAGACAGGTTGGGAAACCTCAGAACTTGGTGTCCTTCAGCGCTCTGCGGCCGGCCTGCAAGAGAAAGGGGGATGAGGGATGGTCACCCCACAAAGGGGGCTAAGGAGGTGCCCCCCAGGTTGCCCACCTTGCCCTTGGGGGACTTGGCGGAGGCGATGCGGGGCGAGCGGCGCGCGGTGCCACGGGGGGAGTTCTTGGGGGTGGTTTTCCTGTTGGCAGCTCGGCGCAGCAGGCTGTTCCCCAGCTTCTTGGGGGTGTTGAGGATGCTGAAGGCCATCGACTGGCGGCGCTCGGGCTGGGATGAAAAAGAAGGATGGTGAGGAGCTCGGAGCGGGCCAGGGAGCTCTGGTTCTCCTTTGCAGAGTCCCTCTGAGCTGCCCACCTGCTTGCTGGGTGCCTGCTGCTCGCTCCGCCGGCTGAGGTGGGAGCTGCGCCGCTCCCGGGGGGTCTGGGGGCGTGGGAAGCAGCTGACAGGCTTCTTGGACTGGGAGAAAGGCAAGAGAGAGGATCAGTGGGGACATTCAGCTGGAAAGTGGGATCACAACTGGGGGGGGAAAGCTGGGACAGGAGCAGGGAAAATCAGAAGGGCTCGGAGCTGCCCCAGGGAGTCTCCGTGCCCAGCAGCATCCGGCGCATCGCACCCCGATCTTTGGGGTGGGACGCCGAGGGGTTTCTGCTCACCTCAGGGGTGTCGGGGCCCTGGTGGGATTCATCCGAGAGTCGTTTGCGCTGCTGCCGGGTGGTGATGCCACCACCGTGAGCCCACCCCCCTCCCAGCGTGCCGCGGCGGGCGGCCGTCCCCTCGGCGATCTGCGAGGGCTGCATGCTGGCGCGCCGCAGCGTCTCTGTCGGGTCGCCAGTCTTCATCTCTTCATCCGTGATGGTGCCAAGCAAGTCAGAAGGCTGCAGGGAGGGGGAAGAGCAGGAGTCAGGGGCTGCACGCACCTGGGGGTGGTGGGAGGGGGTGGCTGCGTGCCCCCCGCTGCCCTTACCCGGCTCTCCAGTGGGTAGCAGGTCTTGAGGTGCGGCGGGCAGGCGCGGTTGCGCTGCTGCAGCTCGGCGATGCGGTTCCAATCGTCCAGCTGCTCCGGTTCATCCTGGCACGTCCCCAGGTAGATGCTGCTGCGACCTGAAGGCAAAACATTGAGAGTTGGAGAGGGGCAGCCTCGCGTTTAGATCAGGATAGAGCTCCCCACCCACTCACCCAAGCTGGAGCTGCTGCCCGCCTGAGAGCGTCGCAGCGCGCTGCGTGTGGCCGGCCGGTAACCGGGGAGGCTGAGCAGCGCAGCGTGGCCTGATGGCTCCTGAGGGGAGGAGGTGTCCAGCTTGGTCAGGGAGTCCTGCGAGGGGAAGCTGGCCAGGGAGCGCGCAGAGCGCAGCCGGGAACGCGCCGGGGCGGCTTTCTGGGGCTGCTCGGAGAGGATGCTGCTGAAGGACGCGTCCGCGCCGCCCGGCTCCTCCGTGGTGGTCTCTTTCTGGCAGAAGGAAGAGAGGAAAGGTGAGGTGATGCAGCAGACCCCCAGCCCAGCGTTTGGCTTGCCCCCCCTCACCTTAGTCATGGTGATGTTGATGATCTGCGTGGTGCGGCGGCGCCCCGAGCGCGTCCTGCAGCCCGACTCCAGCGAGACGTCGCCCAGAGAACCGACGCTGCTCTCCAGCTTGGGCTGCGTGCGGCTGGCGATGGGTGTGAAGTAGAGGCTCTCCAAGGACTCCACCTTCCGTGGCAGCCGCTGTGACGTGCGTGGCTCTGTGCCATCTGGCATGGCTGAGCCATCCGAGTGGGAGCGGGTGGCTTTCCTGCAGGATGGGGCACGAGGGCTGAGCGTGGGGCTGGGGGGCAAAGCGGGGCTGGGGGCAACATGGGGCAGCACGGGGCAGCACTGTACCTGGTGGAGTTGAGTGGCTGTCCCTCGTCCAGGCTGAGGTCCAGGCTGTCGGTGCTGAGGTCGGAGGGGTTTTGGCGGAAGCTCTCTGGTTCCTTCAGCGTGGCCTTGGGGGCCGGGATCTTGCCGTGCTCCCGAAGCTGCTGGTCGGCAAATTCCAGCTGGGGGGAAGCAGGGAGAGGTGGGCCAACTCTTCCAGTGAGGAAGCAGGAAGGCAGAGAGTTGGGTTGTGCCTACCTGTGCCTCCAGGCTGCGGACCTGCCCGCTCAGCTCCCTGCAGCTCAGCTCAGCCTCCTTAGCCTGCAGCATGCTCTGCTGCAGCTCCTTGGCCAAGCGCTCTGACTCCGTCCTCAGCTCCGCGTTCTCCTTCTGCAGCTGCTCCATGGCCTTCAGCTTCTCTGCCAGGTCCTGGTTCTGCTGTTTCTTTGCGTCGTAGTGAGTTTTTGCCTTTTCCATCTGAGAAGAAGCAGAAGGAGAAGGAAAATCAGCAGCCCGTCGAGGTTCCCCACTGAGCACAGGGATGGTGACAGCTTGCAGCAGCTCACCTGGGCTTTGTAGTGCTCAGCTGCCTGCTCCTTCTGTGCCAGCTGCTCCTGCAGCTCTGCCACCCTCTCCTGCTGGCGCGTGGCCTCGCTCTGCAGCTCTCCTTCCAGCACCTGCATGGAAGGGATCGGATCAGAACCTACCCCCAGCTCCACAGCAAAGCCACCCCAGCTGCTGAGCATCCCCATCCACCTACCTTAACTCTCTGCTGCTGGCTCCGCGTGGCCTTCTCATGCTGTGCCAGGTTCTTGTTCAGCTCCTCCACCTAGCAGGGCACAGGTTGGTCACCCGAGGGCAGCAGGCAGGGAAGGAAAACTCTGTTCCCCCCTCCCCTGGCCATCCCCTCGCACACCCGTGGCCGACGCAGCCGTCTCCAGCGCCAACTGCCCACAGTGGGATCAAGCAGCGGGAGGAGGCTCAGCCCCAAATGGTTTTGCCGTGCCAAAGTTCAGCGTGCTGCCCCAGGGGCTGTCACCTCCCCAGGGACGAGAGAGCATCCTGCAAAGCCTCTAGGCTGGGGACAGGGATGGGGGCTTTGTCCCCACAACGTGAGGCAGGGGATGGGGGTGACCCCGCGAGGAGCAACCCCACGTTGGCCACGTCTGCTCGAGCAGCAGCAGTTCCCCAGAGGTTGGCTCTGAGATCAGTGCTGCATTAAAAAATAAAATAAAATAAAATAAAATAAAAAACACCCACAATCCAACACCTCCAGCCCAATCTGTGAGGGTGGATAGATGGGACCCTGTTTCTCCTCCCCGTGGGGTGGACATGAGAGCCCAGAGACCTGGAGCTGGGAACAGCCCGCTGCCATCAGTGGGTAAGGAGGCAGCAGCTCTGCTGGCAGGCGGATGGGGCCGCGCACCGTCACCGTTTAAGCAGCCGACACTCGATGTGTGTTACCTGCTTTGCTTGTTCTTTCTGAAATACCTCTAGCTGCTCCACCTGTGGCAAGCAAAAAAAAAAAAGGGTGAAGACATGGCATGCGCAAGGCACTGCCCACTGCAGGTGTGGATCCCCCCAGCTCCCACCCCGATGGGCCCAAGAGAAGAGTTTGTAGGGCTGCGATGAAATCAGGGCTTCCCCTGTGCCTTAATGAACGTGGGCCCTAAGATAACCCCCAGCTTAGGAACAGGGATGGGGTGGGAGCAGAGACACCTGGGGTTGGTGAACCTGGGCCGTAAGACAGCTCCTGGCTTAGGAATGGGGATGAGGCGGGAGCAGGGCCCTGGCTCTGAGGGCTTTGGGGAAGCTCATGGGCAACCATCTCAGCTGGAAGCCACCACAGCCCTGGGCAGACCCAGCAGAAGCGAACGACATGGAGCCCACACATGCCCTCCCCATGGCACAGCCCCATCCTGAGTGCTCTGCCCCAAAATCCACGTCGTGCACCCACAGTGCAGAGCTCCACCGGCCCCTACCTGCGCCATCAGCTTCTGCCTCTCCTCCTGGAACTTCTGCCTCTCCTCCAGCACCTTCACCTTGGCGTTCTCATACTTATTGCTCATCGCCTCCAGCTTCCTGGCCGCCTCCTCGGCCTCCTGCCTGCTGTTGGCCATCGCCTTCTCCGCCTCCAGCCTCACGCACTCCAGTTCCCGTGTGTGCTTCTCCCTCACCTGCCCCAGCTCAGCATCCAGGCGCTGCTGCCCGCGGCTCACGCTCTCATTCAGCTCACGGTTCTCCTCAGCCAGCCGGCCGTTGGCTGCTTGTAGGGCTGCCAGCCTCTCGCTGGAGCTCGCTGCCTCCTTCTGCAGCCGCTGCAGCGCACGCTCCTGCTCAGCTGCTCTGTCACGCAGGGCCGGCAGCTCGGCCACCTCCAGCCTGACCCGGGCCAGCTCCGCCTGCAGCGCATTGGTGGCCTTCGCCCTCTGCTCCAGGTCCTCGCGGTGCTTGCTCTCCAGCGAGGCACGCTCAGCTTGCAGCTGCTGGCACAGGTGTTTCAGCGGCACCACCTCTCCGGCCAACGCCTGGGCACTGCCCAGCTCCTGCTGCAGGGAGGAGAGGAGCTGCTCCTTCTGGAAGAACTTGTCCTGGCAGACCTTCACCTCCTGTCGCAGCTCCTCCTCACGTTCACTCTGGCAGTGGCGGTCCCTCTTCAGTGCCTCGATGGTCATCCGCTGCTTCTCCATCTCCTCTTGGCATCGCTGTACCTCCACTTTCATCAGTGAGCAGCGTTCAGCCGCTCGCGACGCGGCCGTGGCCATCT